TCATTGCCAAAGTTAAACAACTAAAATTTGTTACTGAACTCAAATAATCGAATGCGTGCGGATTGTTTTCGTTTTTTGCTTTCTGTAAAAGAATTATTTTTTGAAAAGACTCAAGCCATTGAAATGGACACTGAAACGATATGTAAAACGGTTTTTCTGATGAAATGAAAATAAAAGAATCTTGTTTAATCCTTGTTCTCAAGTCAAACTTGTCATAAGTTTTTAAGTTTACTTTTTAAAGAGGATCTATTCCGCGAGCCTGTGATTTCTCCGGTGGTGGTTGAACTGTGTCTCTTTTTGTCTTCCTGCCAAAGTAGAACCTAAAAGAAAACAAGATTGCTCGTATCAGGGCGAGGCCCTGAATGTTCCGACTGCCTTTTAAAGTTTTATGGAGCAGTAATAACATTAAAAAAATTTTATGTAAAAAAAATAAATTTTTTTTTTTTAATTTGAAATTTTTTATGAAAATCATCCCCCCCCCACACGCCATTTAAAGTACGAAAAGATAAATTTAGCTCCTTGTAACAAATCTATTATGGCAAATAAGCTTCTTTCAACCAATTTGGAACAATTTTAGGACGGATTAACTCTCCGCTTACGCGTTAATAGCGCGAAATATATCGCGCGTTAATTGTCCCAAATTGGCCAAAATGGCAATCTTTAAACCCCCATAACTTTACGAAAAATGATCACAGGTGAAATATTTTTTCAAATTTGAGCTCAGGGCAACAATACCTTTTGAATGATATAAAAAAATTCCGTCAAAAATGGCTAGTTAAAAAGTCGAAATTTGTCTGAAGAAAAAAAAAACCCACCCCGAGCACAAATATTCCGTTACTTTCGTATCGAAAGTCGGAACAATAATTCCGCAGGCTTGTGATTCATCAAGTATTTTTATTTGACGGAAATGTGATGTCTCGACTTTATAATCCAATTGTTTGTTTTCCTCAAAATAAACTTTTACGATTCCTTTCACAATTAGATTTGCTTTTGCGATAGAGATATGAGACGTGGTTCAATCCTAAATATAAAGGGTTCTGTCCTAGTGAACACGTTTTTAGTTCTTAGTTTTTCTTAGTTTGCTATAAAAAGTGAATATTTGAATCACCGCAAACAGCGTGGAACTAAGGAGCATCTTAAAAGCAACAAGAGAAACAGCAAAAAAGACCTGCCCCGATGTGTTTTTCTCAAATCAAACAAGATATGCAAAACAACAATCACTATAAGGAGCAATGCTATACTGGGGAAACTGTAGATTGGCGAGTGATTTTATTTAATATAAGTATAATAATATGGTACAAGTTGTAAAATTGGTTTGAAATATTTGGAAAATGGAATTGCCGATGACAAAAAAGACAAAGTTTTCTGAAACTTATTGAGGCACTGCATGCTAACTTGATAAAGTTCTTGCCAGTAAAACAAAAAATTGAACACTGGATAACGAATCAAACAAAAAATGCAGGTGCCAAGCAGGCTTTACATAGACGAAATTGTGTCAGGTCATTTCAACAAAAGCTCGAGAAAAGCATAAACATGAAGCTAATTTTGTGAAAAAGATCAGTCAATCAGCAAAAAACGAACTCTTATAATTTCTAACCAAGATTTGACCAACATCTTTCTAAAAAGAAGCTTACCAATTTTTTTAGACCTAACCAAGTTAATCTAAAAAGTATTTGATACGCACATTTTCACAGATTGCGTAAAACAGCAAAAGTAATGCCCATCTATAAAGATGACAAAAAAACTATCAAACAAACCATCGACCAACATCCTTACCGCCGGTATTAAGAAAAATGGTAGAGAGAGCTTCATGCAACAGGCTTAAACAAAACGTCTGACAAAACATCAAATTCCTATAACAAAACAGCAAATTTGAAACAATTGATGCAATAGTTTCGTTGATTGAAGTAATTCGTTACCAGGGGATATTCTTTCAAATGAATCACAATGCACATTATTCGACTTGCTCAAAGCTTTTGATACTGTAAACCATAGTTTTTCTGTTGAAAAAATGTCACTCTAATGGGTTACCAGGACCAGTGTATAAAATTATAAATCTTATTTGTTAAATAAAGCTCACTACGCTTTTGTAAATCGAAATAAAACTACCACACAGTTGGTTAAGTTCTCTGTTATTCATTCTCTTCATCAATGATTTTGACTGTAACAATGACCAGTCAAAATTAGTTTTGTACGCTGATAAAACTGCAGTACACGCTATAGTAGAGAAAAAACAAAAGCGCAAAATCATTGAAAAGCTCTGAATGGTGTCACAACTTGATTAGTTGAGAATCAATTAATTTTAAACACAGGCAAAAAAATTATGTTCTTTTCAAAAAATAAAATCATTAAAAATTCAAAAAAAAACTGAAAAAGAAATTATCGAGCGGCTAAGTGGTTTTAGATATCTCTTCATTTATATTGATTAAAATTAGGCAAAGAGAGACATGAAAGCGAGAATAAAATTAAGTTGAACAGATTTTGTGGGATGGTTTATCAACTAAAGAAACATTTGAAAACAAATCTGTTGATAAATTTGTACGAAACATGTTTTGAGGACAAACAACAATACCTTTTGAATGATATAAAATAGTTTTTCTCAAATTTTTTACCTTGAAAATCAATTTTCATAGCATAATTTCTACAATTTCTCTATTTTGCATCCAAAATCAGTTTTGATACCATTATGTTTAGGGCATTAGTTTTGGATATCCTCAGTTTTAGTCGATATTGTTTTTGTTGATGTAGAATAAAACGCAATCTGAGAAAAAGAGATAGTCATACAAAAAGCTAGTCATACAAAAGTATGAAATTGTATCACTAGCGTTTTTTCATTAGCTCCGTTTGTGCAATTGTATGACTTGCATTTTCCTGCTGCAGAGGTCCACCCGGGCGATTGCTACTTCGATATTTTAGAAAGCAGTTATTAAGTTTGCCCCGTTATCCAACTTAAAATACATGTTAAACCACAAGGGCGTTCATGTAAAACAAAATTAATGGAAGTTCGCTAAATTGAAAAGTGAAACTGTTAGCTTTACCGAAATTTGAATACCATTATGAACACCTTCAAAAACAGTTGAGGTTCGAATCGATTGAAATTATCGTCTGAAATAAATGTACGATTGCTTTTTTCTAAGTTGCTATAATTGATCAGTTTTTAATCTGACTTTTGCATAAATAGGCAGGAACATATGCGCCCAGTGTGTTGTTTTTATTTCAAATTTCAATGTCACACACAAAAAAAATTGGCAAACCGAGTTCAAAGTTTGAAAGAAAAATATAACTATGTGACAAATTTTCCGAACAGTAGTAGTGTTTGAAATTCGCTAATTTGTCAGTTTTGGGTTAATTACAGTTTCAATTAACGCATTGAACTGAGTGAAGATATATCAACCCGGTTTTGACTCATATCAGTTGTACTAAAACGGATAGTGAGTGTGGGGGAGTAAACAAATTTGCTGCAACACTTAAAAGTACGGATAATGAATGTAGTACGGATATTGAGTGTACGGATATTGAGTACGGATACTGTGTCTACGGATACTGAGTGTACGGATACTGAGTACGGATACTGAAGGTACGAACAAAAAAAGTTTACATCAGAAACCTATTGTAAAAATTCACAGCATTCTTTTCAAATTAAAAAACTTGAATCAAAAACTCAAAATAAAAGTTCGAATCAAAATCAAAAATTGGGAGAAACAATTTCAGCTCTGTTTTTATATTCATATTCTGATGCGTAAGGGCTATATAAATTGTTGTTCCGACCATTAAAATGGGGAGGAACTTTGTATTTGGGTCAGTTTTAGTTTTTTTTTGTTTTCCACGCAAAATCAGGTACTACAAATAATGATCGGACTGGGTTGAGTGATATATCAAAGTAAAGCCCTTACAGTAGCGAACCAGATAGAAACCATTTTCAAAAATTACAAAAAAGTTTTCCCAGGGTCGAGAAAAACCGGTATGAAATTTTTGATTTTTCCTCTTATTTCTTGCGAATAAAGCGATCACGCAGTCTTACTTTAATTGCTTAAAAGCTTACTTTAGATTAATTTTAAATGTAAAAACTTAATTTCACATGAGTATCGTTAGTTTACGCTGAGTATTTTAGCGATTTTTTGGAATCAAATTTTTCAAAATTCAAAAAACTGCAAAAACTCTCGAATTTTTTTCGTTCTTCTACTAATTTTTTAACGAAAATTGATTTTCATTTTTAAGTTCGAGTAGGCTGTCGAATAGATCTAATCCTCAGTTTTTTGCTCAGTTCATTTCATCACACCACGTAGAAAAAAAAAAGCGACAATAATTTGAAAAATTTGTTGTTATTTTTATAAGACTATGGTAGGAACATCTTGTGCTTCTTACACAGTAACTGGCTATCCTTGTTAAGTTTTGCTCTATACGTTTATTTCAAGATTTTTCAGTAAGTATTAGAAAACTGATATCAGCCTGGAGATGAAAATCACTCTGGAGACATAAAATTTTTTGGAGACATAAGATTTTTTGGAGATATAAAATTTATAACAACAATTCAAAAAAATTTGATGGGAGTTTTTTGGCAGAAGTTTAAGATGGCAGAAACTTTCTAACAGGCGCAGGCGCTATTGATGCTTTATCATGTGCGAGATTTTTTAGGTGGGGAAGGCATGTTTTTTAAACTTCGAAGTCCTTTCTGCTTTCTTGTTCACATCAACATGTTTCATTTTTCGTGCACAGCAAAAACTAGAATGGCCATTAGGGTAATAATGGCATTTTAAGCAATGTTTTGAAGTATTTGACCCGCCTTAACTTACGTTTATATTGCTTAAAAAAACGCTAATTGAAAAAGTTTTGGCTCGGTCGGCCAAAAATTGATGTATTAAGTAGTAACAAAAACATTACCCTGAAAAAAGCTTGGAAATTATGATTTTATGAAGACAGCTGCATTGAACCAACCTTGATGTCAACTGAAAGTTTCATTTCGATGCCCTTTTTTCTCATGTTTTCGTTCATTTTTTCAGTGTTCTAGTCACGAGAGAATCAATATCGGATGACATCATTAACAATCCTTTGAACCAGTTCCTCCTCATGTGGAAATTTTTCCATGACTGGGCCTACATAGCGAACGACTTGATCAAAGTAGGCATGAAATCTCCTTACGACGAAAACTTCGACCTTGTAGCTTTGTCTGGCGAAATTAAATCTGCACAAGTCTCAGAGAAAGACCTTAGAAACGCAGAATTAGCTATTTTGAGAGTTCAGGAATTCTACCATTTAGACGCTATTGATGTCATTCGGGGGAAAATTAGTAACTATACGGCCATCAGGTAATAATCGGCTTATTTTTATATATGCAAATTCGAGTTAAGAATCAGACATTTTTTAGTCCACTGAACTTTTTTCCCTTGCATCGCGAAATCGATGCTTGATAGTGAACCTGTTGTTTTTCAAAGTTTCACAAAAATAGTTAACGAATATCAAATTCATCTCAAGTTCGGCAACTAAATTCCAATGTCAAATCTTCATTGTTATTGGGTACGGGTTTAAAAAGGTTATGTGAAAATCATAGAGAAGCGATTTTTTTAATGAGCCATATAAAATTCATAGCCACTTGTGATTTCTTGTAGGGCACCTCGCAAAAGTAAATCACAAAAAAGTCTTAGCGTCCATTTTCTAAGTACACTGTATTTTTTCTCCAGAGCACTGGTTGAGAAACAAGCGAATGATATTGTACTGAAAGCGGTAGAACAGGGCGACACCTGTGGGGCTTATAACTGGAGTAAGGCAATGATTCAACTTAAAATGAATGTGATCGAAGACGGCCGGCTTTTGACAAGAAACCCACCGTCGCAGAAGAAGTGCGCCGCCACAATTTGCTCAACTGGCGCTGGCGAAAGCTACTGTATTTTGAAAGACGACTCAACTGCACGTTACCAAAAAGCGTGCAATACCAAATCGTACAATTATCCAAAAGGTAGGTGAATAATTGCTCTTAAATGAAAATCGGTGAATGTTGTAAGACGGTTAAAACAGTTTCAAGAAGCTGTATGCAGTTGAAAATGAATGCTTTTAAAATTAAGTGCTAATTTTTACCTTGATTCTTGCGAATGGTGCGAAACAATCGAACTCTACAGTTATGGTAAAAATAAAAAAAACCTCTGGTTTGACCCTCAGTATTTAGATGGAGTTTCGAATTCAAACTAAATAAAAGTGAAATTTTACGGAATGGAGCGCTGAAATTCTAAATTTAATCCAAGAATAGCTTTTTATCGGTGAAAAAGTTTTACTAAACTCTTTCTTAAACGTTTCCCTAAGCAAAAGTTGTAACGGTGAAGGAGATAAAAGAAAAATCAAATCGGTATAGTATACTTTTTACATTTAATTAATCTTTTTTATTTGCAAAGTTAACTCATCAAAAGTTGATTATCTGTTCTGTGCTTTTCTGTTTTTTGATGTTGATTTTTTTTTCAACTTTTGCTGAAAACCTAGGAAGGAAGAAGAGAGCTGCTTGCTCCCTGAACGCCATTCACCCGTCTCAGATACTTCAACCGATCAAAACTGAGCAGATATCAGTGAATCCTCCCATCTATCAGTTTCACGAAGTGTATACATCTCAAGAATGTGATCACATTTGGGCAACTGGAGCCGCAATTCAGAAAAGAAGTACCGTCGCTTCTGACCCGCGTGAAAAAATCACAGTGAGCGAGAGAAGGGTGGGAACTAACAGCTGGTAAGAATTGAGAAACGAATGATTTTTAGAAGATGTCACCCTCTTTAAACACGCGTTACGTTACCCGCATAAGATAACCCTACAATTATTTAACCTTTTTCAAATACCGATAGTTTTAGCACTCAAATTGTTCATTAACTTTGAAAAAGAAGAAAAAATTGGAAATTCATACAATCGAATTAAGTGAATAGCATACAGCCAGACTTCAAATAATCGCATTCCAGTATAAGCAAAGACACCTCCGTTCGAAAACTCAATTTCTCTAACGCCACGATTGGGCACCTACAGTGCTGATTTAAATTAACCGGACAAAACGCGTTAAACTTGAAATTTAAAACCCGTTTTTCTCAAATTGGGTTGAATTTAGGTGAAAACTTATGAAGACAAAACGTATTTAAAATTTTAGCAGAATTAATATATTGTAATTTGTTTTACGAAATTCGTGCCAAAAATTTTACCCCAAAAATGGGTCATTTTGGCTTTTCTTAGTTAATCAAAAATTACGCCAAAAATACCCGGTCGATCACAGACATAATTATATTAAAGTGAGCTGCTTACATAGCCCAACAAACTTTAACAAGTGTATATTATCCAAAAAAATTTGCAAATCGTTTAAAAATTGTTTTTACATAAATAGTTGGTATTTTTCATAGTAAAAACGACCTTTTTTTGCCTATCAAACAAAAATTAATTAACTTATACAATGTTTTGGAGAATAAACCCTTGTTAAAGTTTGTTGGGCTACGTAGGGAGCTCACTTTAATATAATTATGTCTGTGGTCGACTGGGTATTTTTTGGCGCAATTTTTGATTAACTAAAAAAAGCCAAAATGACCCATTTTGGGGGTATAATTTTGGGCCCGAATTTCGCAAAAAAAATTACATCATATTATTTCTGCTATAATTTTAAGCAAGTTTTGTCTTCATAAATTTTCACTTAAACTCAACCCAATTTGAGAAAAACGCGTTTCAAATTTGAAATTTAGCTCGTTTTGTCCGGTTAATTTAAAAAAGAAAAAGTACCAGGTCCTGAACGGAAAATGGGCAGAAAATTACATATGTTTACGAAAAAAAGAATGATTTGCATTTCTTTTGCGCTATGGCGCTCTTAAGGTAAAAGTTTGTTTAACTGTTTTTTGTATTTATTTTGAATTGAATTTTTGCGTGCCAATATTTTTTTGTGTAAAAACGTCTCCACGTAGCCGCCTGGAAACATAGAGAAACCCATTGTCTTGACTAGCTTTTGAATATTCCGACGGATCAAGTTAATATCCTCTCCCCAAATAGACCAAGTTAAAGTCTTCCACGCCAGCGCAAAAATGATTTCAAAAAAAAATAAATTTAAAACAAATTAATTAGGCGCTGTGTCTAATTAGGAATCTAAAAAATTCGACCTCAAAACAAAGTTAACATAGTCTTCCTAAATGTTTTTGCGGGGCGAATTTTAACTTGGTCCAGTTCCGACTGCCCCCTAACCCATATCAATTAGTATATGGGAAAAAACATTAAGAAACTATAAATGTTGGACAATATCAAGAATCAAGTGAGAAAATTCAAGTTGTTTAAAATTTTTATGACAAACTAACTAGCCCTGTTTTAATTGAGAACGATTGTTTAATGCGGGATAATCCGCCGCGTATATAGACATTGCGTTACGTTTTCAGCCTTATGAATGAAATCCTCATAAAGCTAATAAATTAGTCCATAGCACGGCCAGTTTTTATAATTCCCAGAACGCAAAAAGTTGGAGGTAAAATACTTTTCTACTGTTGGTTTCAATGAGTCGATATGTTCAAAAGGTTAATTGTTTTTTTTGTTAAAAACTATTTGTTCATTTGCTGACAGTGGACTAATTAAAAAATCACCCCAGCATAAATTTTCTGTTTTTTTTCGAAAGTCTAAAGACTAAAAGCTTAGATTAGGTCTTTGATCCAATCGGGTTCTCTTCGATGTTTCATTTAAATTCAGCGGATTAGGTTTTTGATCCAATCGGTTGGATCCAATTAGTTTAGTTCCGATTTTTCATTTAAGTTGTTAGTTTTTAGTTGGCAAGAACATTTTCAAGATCGTGTTCAATTTTAGCAAAAAATGACCTTTTTCATGCAGTATTTTGAATCTTACTGGTCGGCCTAACTTTCAAGTTCAAATCAAAGTGTCAACTATCGACAGCTTACAATTCTATTTGAATTTAAGCAGCAATTATCAGCGTGCATGTTTTTTTTCCATGAGGTTTACCGACGTTACGGTACCAAATCACTATCAAGTTAAATTTGCTTTGATTCTAACAGTTAGAATTATTATATGTTATGTTAAAGAGTATCACAAGAACTTAGATGAAATCCCTAGTTTTCCAGCTTATACTCATATGTCCAAAAAGTTAAACACCTTTTGCTGATTACGCGACTTCTTTGGTATCCCGAACACTTTCAGCACACGAGCTTTATTTTAAAAGCCAAAAACCCTGAGTCATTCATTAAACAAGTAGCTGCAGAGAAAACGGCAGAAATGTAAATTTTTTTGTTCATTTTGTTAGAGGAAATTTTAAAATATAAAAAAAATGTAATCTTTTACCCCTTGCACGTTGCAAGAAGGTAGTAAAATTTTACTCTAATCATAGTAAATTAGTTTTTCGTTCAATATTTCAAAGTTTTTAAACTAATAAGTGTGCAGCTGTTAAAGCAGCTGATGAAAATAATTTTTGTAGCTTAATATTTGACTATATATGTTGTGAAAAGAGTCGAGTAGTGTAAAGGACAGGCTATTTGTTCAGCTCATTGGGGTTTTCGCGTCTGGATAGCCAAATAATTTTTCTTGAATCCACAGTAAGCGACTAGAAGAAACCCAAGGTGCTTTTCTTCAGTTTTGCTTTCGAAACTCGGGGAAAACACAAATTACGCCATAGTTGTCGGAAAATAAGCAATGGAGTTTTGTTTTAGGCTTGGCGACGACTCATCAGTCGTGGATATGTTCAGTAGAAGAGTGGGCTATGCTAAAATAATCGCATTCCAGTATAAGCAAAGACACCTCCGTTCGAAAACTCAATTTCTCTAACGCCACGATTGGGCACCTACAGTGCTGATTTAAATTAACCGGACAAAACGCGTTAAACTTGAAATTTAAAACCCGTTTTTCTCAAATTGGGTTGAATTTAGGTGAAAACTTATGAAGACAAAACGTATTTAAAATTTTAGCAGAATTAATATATTGTAATTTGTTTTACGAAATTCGTGCCAAAAATTTTACCCCAAAAATGGGTCATTTTGGCTTTTCTTAGTTAATCAAAAATTACGCCAAAAATACCCGGTCGATCACAGACATAATTATATTAAAGTGAGCTGCTTACATAGCCCAACAAACTTTAACAAGTGTATATTATCCAAAAAAATTTGCAAATCGTTTAAAAATTGTTTTTACATAAATAGTTGGTATTTTTCATAGTAAAAACGACCTTTTTTTGCCTATCAAACAAAAATTAATTAACTTATACAATGTTTTGGAGAATAAACCCTTGTTAAAGTTTGTTGGGCTACGTAGGGAGCTCACTTTAATATAATTATGTCTGTGGTCGACTGGGTATTTTTTGGCGCAATTTTTGATTAACTAAAAAAAGCCAAAATGACCCATTTTGGGGGTATAATTTTGGGCCCGAATTTCGCAAAAAAAATTACATCATATTATTTCTGCTATAATTTTAAGCAAGTTTTGTCTTCATAAATTTTCACTTAAACTCAACCCAATTTGAGAAAAACGCGTTTCAAATTTGAAATTTAGCTCGTTTTGTCCGGTTAATTTAAAAAAGAAAAAGTACCAGGTCCTGAACGGAAAATGGGCAGAAAATTACATATGTTTACGAAAAAAAGAATGATTTGCATTTCTTTTGCGCTATGGCGCTCTTAAGGTAAAAGTTTGTTTAACTGTTTTTTGTATTTATTTTGAATTGAATTTTTGCGTGCCAATATTTTTTTGTGTAAAAACGTCTCCACGTAGCCGCCTGGAAACATAGAGAAACCCATTGTCTTGACTAGCTTTTGAATATTCCGACGGATCAAGTTAATATCCTCTCCCCAAATAGACCAAGTTAAAGTCTTCCACGCCAGCGCAAAAATGATTTCAAAAAAAAATAAATTTAAAACAAATTAATTAGGCGCTGTGTCTAATTAGGAATCTAAAAAATTCGACCTCAAAACAAAGTTAACATAGTCTTCCTAAATGTTTTTGCGGGGCGAATTTTAACTTGGTCCAGTTCCGACTGCCCCCTAACCCATATCAATTAGTATATGGGAAAAAACATTAAGAAACTATAAATGTTGGACAATATCAAGAATCAAGTGAGAAAATTCAAGTTGTTTAAAATTTTTATGACAAACTAACTAGCCCTGTTTTAATTGAGAACGATTGTTTAATGCGGGATAATCCGCCGCGTATATAGACATTGCGTTACGTTTTCAGCCTTATGAATGAAATCCTCATAAAGCTAATAAATTAGTCCATAGCACGGCCAGTTTTTATAATTCCCAGAACGCAAAAAGTTGGAGGTAAAATACTTTTCTACTGTTGGTTTCAATGAGTCGATATGTTCAAAAGGTTAATTGTTTTTTTTGTTAAAAACTATTTGTTCATTTGCTGACAGTGGACTAATTAAAAAATCACCCCAGCATAAATTTTCTGTTTTTTTTCGGAAGTCTAAAGACTAAAAGCTTAGATTAGGTCTTTGATCCAATCGGGTTCTCTTCGATGTTTCATTTAAATTCAGCGGATTAGGTTTTTGATCCAATCGGTTGGATCCAATTAGTTTAGTTCCGATTTTTCATTTAAGTTGTTAGTTTTTAGTTGGCAAGAACATTTTCAAGATCGTGTTCAATTTTAGCAAAAAATGACCTTTTTCATGCAGTATTTTGAATCTTACTGGTCGGCCTAACTTTCAAGTTCAAATCAAAGTGTCAACTATCGACAGCTTACAATTCTATTTGAATTTAAGCAGCAATTATCAGCGTGCATGTTTTTTTTCCATGAGGTTTACCGACGTTACGGTACCAAATCACTATCAAGTTAAATTTGCTTTGATTCTAACAGTTAGAATTATTATATGTTATGTTAAAGAGTATCACAAGAACTTAGATGAAATCCCTAGTTTTCCAGCTTATACTCATATGTCCAAAAAGTTAAACACCTTTTGCTGATTACGCGACTTCTTTGGTATCCCGAACACTTTCAGCACACGAGCTTTATTTTAAAAGCCAAAAACCCTGAGTCATTCATTAAACAAGTAGCTGCAGAGAAAACGGCAGAAATGTAAATTTTTTTGTTCATTTTGTTAGAGGAAATTTTAAAATATAAAAAAAATGTAATCTTTTACCCCTTGCACGTTGCAAGAAGGTAGTAAAATTTTACTCTAATCATAGTAAATTAGTTTTTCGTTCAATATTTCAAAGTTTTTAAACTAATAAGTGTGCAGCTGTTAAAGCAGCTGATGAAAATAATTTTTGTAGCTTAATATTTGACTATATATGTTGTGAAAAGAGTCGAGTAGTGTAAAGGACAGGCTATTTGTTCAGCTCATTGGGGTTTTCGCGTCTGGATAGCCAAATAATTTTTCTTGAATCCACAGTAAGCGACTAGAAGAAACCCAAGGTGCTTTTCTTCAGTTTTGCTTTCGAAACTCGGGGAAAACACAAATTACGCCATAGTTGTCGGAAAATAAGCAATGGAGTTTTGTTTTAGGCTTGGCGACGACTCATCAGTCGTGGATATGTTCAGTAGAAGAGTGGGCTATGCTACTGGAATGCAGATGAGTCCAGAGGATGTTGAAAAGTGGCAGGTATATTTGCGCCAGTGACGCAACTGAAAACATATTTCAGTTGCCCAAAATTGTTCTTTTCGGAGGCTTATCGGTGTCTGAGGGTATTTGAGCAACACCAACGCCCGGGTTGAAAAAGAATTATGTTCTAGTGTTTTTTTTTCTGCAAAATTAGCAATTAAAGGGAAACATTAAATGAATCGAATATTAAATCCTATTATGCAGTCACGGGACATAGAAGTGCAAGCCAATTTAATCCATGTTTCTGCCGTTTTTTTTACAACTATCGGTTTAATACTGACATATTGATGGATAGAATTGAAATAGAAGTATAATCGAAAAGATTAAAAATTTGGGGTTGAATCGACCCCCTCAACAACCAAAGAGTTTTTGATCTAATATTTCCAAAAATGCCCAAAAATTGCAATTTTGACCTGTTTGTTCACAATTTTGCTTTGCGGTGCAATCAAGTTAGTCAAAATAAAGTTTTAAAAGTTTTCTGGGAGCGCTCGGAAAATCAATTTGGCCGGCTTGAAAAAAAAAGTCGACAAAACTTCGAAAAAAGTTGGAAAGTCCGCATTCCCTTGAAAAAATCCTGGATCCACCCCTGCAAGGACATCATATGAACCTCTAATCACAAAAAGGATAACATAACCTTAAAATCTAACAAATAAACCAAAGACTGAAATGCAATGAACACAAAATGAAAAGATTTGGCCAGCCGGTACAATCAAGGAACCCCAAATTAATTGCAACAACACATTTGACTCAGCTAGTGAATTTAAAAGTTGTCGTGGTGTCATCGATTGGTACAGGATGGTCGAATAACAAGGCGGTAAGACCTATAGGGTCCCCCAAAAATCTACAGAAGCCATCAGCGTTGGGTTGATAAAAATAAATTATCGGAAGACGGACCATGAGAGCCCAAAGTTGGTTGACCATCATAGGCGATGAGAAGGAAGGCTTAGAGCAACGCTCATCGAATATCAAAGACGATTTTTATCTCGCGATAGCATGATTGCACACGAAAAGTAGAATACATAGACGCTAAAAAAGCTTTTCTTCAATCTGAAAAAAGGACATCACTCTACTTCATTCCACTCGAAGAAACAAATGCGATTATTGGTAGACTATGGGTACTGAAGGTAAAAGCATATGAATTAGAAGACGCAGCTTTTTGTAAATGGCAATAGAGAAGAATCTGGAAGTAGTAGACATATCTCATAGTCTCAATAGATCTAGTGTACACCGGTTTATGCGAGTTAGTTCCAGAATGAGAACAACTGTATTCTAAGTTCAATTCAAATTGCTCTGATGTTGAAACTACAAATAGTTTCAACACTTTACAAATAAATAGGTTGTTAGTTTGATGGAGTATGATTGGTTAGTATTTAATATTTTATAGAGATAAAATATCATAATAATAACCAATGATAAATACTAGTTTAGATCTGGTTCCAAAACGTAAACACGGTAGATGAAAAACTACATGGAGCGCAAGATAAAAAAAGGCGCAAGATAAAAAAACGATGCAGCAAGATATAAAAACTTGATGTAAGATGCGAAGCAGTATCATTTATACAATCGTAAATTATAACCACGAGAGTCCAGGGAATTGGAGATGGCTATGGAGTTTAAACTCTTAGTCTGATCAGCGAGGACAGATTGAAAGCGACCAGCCACCGAAAAAAAACGTGTTCTAAACAGTTGTTTTATTTCTACTTGAGCTAATTAGAGATAAAAGAAACCCCTCAAGAACTATATGGGGGTCTAGCTCAAAACATTTGTTTTTGTAAAGTTTGCAGCTGTTTTTATTGACCACTGCAACTAATTTTTTGAAAGCCGCAACTAATATTTCGACCGCCGCGACTAAATTGCCGCGACTAATTTTTTGACCGAGGGGACTAATTTTTTGACCACTGCAACAAATTTTTTGACAGCCGCGACTAATTTTTCGACCACCGCGCTTGACTTTTGACCATGCCGCGACTAATTTGTCGACAGCCGCGACTAATTTTTTGACAGCCGAGACTAATTTTTTGACCTCCGCGACTAATTTTTCGACCGCCGCGACTAATTTTTCGACCACCGCGACTAATTTTTTGACCACTGCGACTAATTTTTCGACCATGCCTCGACTAATTGTTCGACCGTCGCGACTAATTTTTCGACGCCGCGACTAATTTTTCGACCACCGCGACTAATTTTTCGACCATCGCGACTAATTTTTCGACCACCGCGACTAATTTTTCGACCACCGCGACTAATTTTTTGACCACTGCGACTAATTTTTGACCGTTGCGACTGATGTTTCGACCGCCGCGACTAAAATTCTTTTGTTCGTGCCGGTCGCAGTTATTTTTCTTTTGGTCGCGCCGGTCGTGGTTAACTTTCCTTTGGTCCCGCCGGTCGCGGACACATTGCCTCGGTCCGCAAATTTCGGAAATACCAAATTTTGGTCGCGGCGGTCTGAAAATATTAAATTTTTGTCGCAACAGTCTGGAAATATCAAAACTTGGTGGCGACCGTCTGATCATAAAACCACAACCTCGACCCGGGTAGTGTCATATTGCCTTTTTAGGCTTTTTGATGGTTTTACTCGCTGTTGTCTTTAATAAACCGCTCGAAAACTGCTCAAATCTTGCTTGAAAAACCGTTCAAATACCACTCCAAAAAATAAGCGGCTTTTGAGCGGTTTCTTAAAGCAAGAACTGAGCAGTTTGAGCGGTTTTTCCAAAAAAAATGCCCAAACCGCTCAAATCTTGCATGAAAACAGCTCAAACAGTTCAAATCTTGAGCGGTTTTTGAGCGCGACCTCGACCCGAAAAACGACGACAACACAAAAACAATGCTAGAAGAGACAAATCAAGACAGAGTAGATGAAAAAAAATGGCGCGCAAGATAAAAAAAACTGGTGCAAGATAAAAAAAAATAATTTGAGCAAGATATAAAAGGTTGATGTAAGACGCAAAGCAGTATCATGTATACAATGGTAATTTATAACAACGTGAAGCCAGGGAATGTAAAATTGCTATGATGAATTTGACCTCTAAGTTAGATACGCAAGGACAGATTGAAAGCGACCAGACGCTGAAAAAAAGTGTTCTGAACAGTTCTTTTGTTTCTACTTGAGCTAATTAGAGATAAATGAAAGCCCTCAAAACTATATGAGGGTCTAGCTGAGAACTTTTGTTTTTTAAAGTTTTTAAGCTGTTTTCCTCGTTTACGGTGATAAATTGGCATTAAGAACACCTATCTGACGCGGTTCAGAAAAATGCCCACACGATTTGTTGGAAATAAGTTTTTGCGGTTTTTAAATTGGTTAATTTTTATTCAGCAATCCTTCAATAAGACAAACTCCACCATTTGTCAAAATTTCAACCCTACTTATGTATTAATTGTTATGATAACAGTAGTAACATGGAAAATTTTGTTCATTTCCTCGCTTGAGAGTTAAAATTTGCCAGAAACTTGTCCCGTGACTGTAGCTCTTATAGTCGTGATCTTTAAATTTGTAGGAAAATGTCTTGTTGTCGAGAAAAACGTGTCAGAAGGAATTGAAAATATTTTTTAAAAATTGCTGGTTTCAGTTTCAGTAGGAAAATTTAAAATTTTTCAGGTTTATATATCTAATTGAGTGCTAATTGTTCCGACAAATTGAAAAATGGGGAAGAACATTGTATTCAGGTGTGTTGCACTTTTTTTTTGTTTTCTACGCAAAATCAGGTATCACAAATAGTTATCGGAATGGTCTAGTGATATGTCATATCAGAGCTCTTTCGTGCTACTCAAAGTATTCAAAATTTTTTTATCAGTGTTGAGAAAAACACGTGTGAAATTTTTGATTTTTGGTCTAATTTGTCACTACTATGGTGTGAGCATGCAGGCTTTCAACAGTTTATTTAAGCTTACTTTAAGCCTTGAAAACTTAGTTGTACTCAAATGAAAAAAAGGTTTTTCAGCGCCATTTTTTAAGCAAAGCTAAAAAACTTCAAAATTTTCTGCACACACTTTTTAAAAAATTTTTATTAATTTTTTTAACATTTTTTTTTCGTTTTATTGTTCAATTTTTTCAAAAACTTTTATCCGAATGGCTTTTTAACTATTACTGTAAAATATGCCTAAGCTCTTTTTTTGTTCAGATCTTTTCATTACACCATGCGGAAAAAATCGACAGTCATTTGAAAAAAAAAATGTTTTTGTACTTTTCTAAGGCTGTGGTCGGAGCATTCTGTGCTAACTGCACAGTAATCGGCTAGCCTTGTTCCAATTAACTTTTTTCAGACAAAAAAACTGGGCAAAATTTTGATTAAAGCAAACTTGCTTGAACACTTAGAACTATTTTTATTGCATTAATTACAATAGTAGCAACCTTTCGATGCTATCTGCTCACCCCCTGACTGTTTGATTTTTCTGGTTTTTTGATTTTACTGTTTCTTCAAACTCTAAAACCCCAATGCTGGGATGTTTGAAATAATTTGAATAAGAAAAAACTTAAACCGGTCATTTTGTATCGGAAGAAAAATACTCGTAAGCTCAATGATTCTTTAAGATTTAGAAACATTATATAAATTGATATTCCATGCATAAGTTTTCTGAGGTATAAAGTTGTGAGATTAAAAACTAAACGGCGTTATACGCGAAAAGGTAACATATTAAACGTATTTAATCATTAAATTAAACAATCAAAACCTTAAACGATTAGTACAAAATCGTTTTTTTTTATAGATGAACTTTGTAATTTATGAATACGACTTAAGACTTAGCATTTGAAAATTTTCACTATGAAGAGAAACGTTAGAAACTAAATTGCACAGGGTGTAGAAAGTTTGAATTTTTGAGTATTTATGTTCACGGAAATTCATCAGGTACCACAGATGAACGTCAAGTTGATTCATTTGATCCATCAAAATGAAGCCCCATCAGTCTTGAGTAGGTCTGAAGCAAAAAGTTTTAAGAATGATGTCTCTGGTTCACAGAAAAAAATATTCAAACTTGAGCCTTTTTGAACTTTTTTGAATTATGTAACTAAAATGACAATGATAAAAAGAAATCTGAGAGTCAGATTTGTTTTTTAATTGCCATTAGTTACATAATTTATAGCATCTTTGAATTCTCAATGGTTATGTTTTATACGATACTCGCAATCGAGCAGTTTATCATAAAATTTAGATTTTTTAAATGTATCATCAAAAAAATTTTGAAGCAAGAATAGTTTTTCCTTCAAAAGTAATTGACAAGAATTTTGACTGTAATTTAATTAAACTGCTCTATGCCACTACTTCCGGTTTCTGTGTTTCTTTGCAAGCACGGGACAAAGTTGATCCCCACTTTAGTTGCTTATTTCCATGAGGTTTGTTTATTAGCCCACTTTTCAAGGAAGACAAGCTGAATGAGCCTAAATTTCAGTGAAAAGAGACGAATGAGCCAAAGCTCAATTTTGGGTTAAATTTTCCCAACTATTTCTCTGAATGAGCTATTGGTTAGAAATGGTACTGATTCAAACCAACATTTGGAAAAACATCTGACGAGCTCACTTTTTTTATAAGACTGGACTGACAGACCTTTTTTTCTAAAATGTGGGCTCATCATTCACATTTCTAAGAATTGGCCTAATATAACTTTGGTACAAGTAGATCAAACGTTACAAGTACAAGTAGTTCTAGGGACAATATTTGAGCCCAGTTTCTAAAAATTTGATCTCAAAACTGAGCTCTATTGGTCCATGTTTGCCGGGATGACTTATCAACTGTTCTAAAAGAGGAACTGTTTATCCATTTATTATTTGACATCTAAAATTGAACAAGGCGAAATTTCGATTCGGTTCTACATTTGCGCTAAAAAATCAGATGAAAAGGTTTTTTTCTGAAAATCAAAATAGTGGCGCTGAAATCAAAACTAATAAACGGTCACTGAACTAAATATATATTTTTTTCTCTTTGTTTAATTAAAATGACTTTAAATCAAAAGAAACGTAGACCATCACTTTCTCGTCTTAACCCTTTTTTTCGGTTTTTGTATCTACTGCTCGGATCACAACTTCAGAAATTTCAACAAAATCGTAACATGTGTGAAGAGACTTTTTCGATGAAAGTTCGCAAACAATTTATATAGATTGACTTAATAATCTGTGGACAAAAAAAGTTTTTTTTTTTCAAAAAAAGTTATAAGCGTAGAATCTGCTGAGATGGGGGATTTTACTACCTGTTAAGCAAACATCTCAATTATTCAATTGATATTTTTTTCGAGGCTGCATCCTATGGAATCGGAGGCCACTACAACTTACATCACGACTACCTGCCCGAATACGCAGACCAATTGGCGCACTTGGGACAGAGGTATGCGACCTTCATGGTCTACCTGTCAGATTTGCCACTGGGAGGAGCCACAGCATTTCCTCATTTGGACCTCAGTTTCTTCCCTTCAAAAGGTAAGCAACATGATCATATGCATTTGCTTAGTGTTGTCCATATAAATGAGTCCTAAATTGGTCCTTTATAAATTTATACTTGGAAGAAGGAAGGATAAAAAATCAAAGGTTAAGATTACAAGTTTAGTGTTAGTACAATAGTTATTATGTATTTATATGCATCTAAGAATTTCTCGAGAGGGGGCGGATTTTCAAAAAAATTTTGAAAATTTTGTCGACCTTTTTTTTTTGGTAGAAAACAGGTAGAAAAAAAGGCGTTTTTAGGCACTTTTTGGAAAATTTCGACCAAAAAATCGGTTTTTTTTTGGGCGCGCACTCCCTTAAAATTAGTGTAGATTGGCGCCGAAGGCTCTCTTAAACAAATTTTAAGGTCCGTGAGCCAAAAATGGATATCTCAAAATAGTACAAACCCTTTGGGTCAGCAGGGGGTCGAATCCCTGAGGGGGCATCCGCCGCCCGCGCCCCCTTAAAGCCGCTACTGTGTTTTACTCAAATAAAGGTAGTTCTTGGAGTTTTTTAGGAATCAAAAACTCGAAAAATCAAAAAGATTCCGCAAATAACTTTAATAATAATGTTTTGAATTTTTTTTTCGTGTCTCTTGTCATTTTTCTTCAAAACCAGTTTTCCAATTGACCTATTTTATATGATTCTCAAATATGCCTAAGATCTATTTTTTCGTTCAGATCTTTTTTAGCACAACCTGGAAAAAAACGACACTAATTTGAAAAAAAAAACATTTTTGCCAGATCAGTATTTATGGTATTTATGGTAATTATCTCCCAGACCAGTATTTATGATATTATAACCACAGTAGGGGGAAGAAGCAGATACTGCTAAACTTATCTGACATTGTTTCAGGTAGTGCTTTGTTTTGGTTCGACATTAGCCTTGCTGGTGAACCTCTTACCTTAACACTTCACGGGGGTTGCCCTGTCCTGCTGGGCGCGAAGCATATAGGCAACAAGTGGATCCGATACAATCCACAGTTCTTGACTTATCCATGTGGGAGGAGTCCAAACTCTATTGCCAAACTGCCAAAGTCATTGTGCAGATACTGATTTATATGGGCAACAAAAAATTATCGCAATCGTATATAGGGTGCAAAGCGACAATTCGTTGAACTTATTTGAAGCGACAAATCGTCATATACCAATTTATAGTATTAAATTTGAAAACTATACTTATAGAAACTGCCTATGAGATGATAGCTTCGATAAGGATCTTTAGAAAATGTATTTTTCAGACTTATGTTAATTTGCATGTCAGTAAATGGTTCCATTTTCAAAATGTGAGGAATTATTGGCACCATGATGTCAAAAGTAATATTCAGTGGTTTCATCTGCGCTGTAAATTGAATATGATGTTTCAGCATTATAGCAGAAATATTATGTATCACTGGAATACCAATCATTTTTTATTCCAAAGTTATGGGACTATAATTATGTGATATCATTTGTAATATCTTCCTTATGGCATTTTATAGCTCGACTTTAATCTCTACGTAATTTAAAAAAATAACTATCAATTTACAAACTAGTTTTGATTTTTGATATTCCAACCATAAGATGCATATAGCAGGGAAAAACATAGAATGCAGGGCATTTTGAATCAATCTTGATTTTATTAAAAATTATTAACAGTATGAAAATTGATGTTTAAAGTCTGTTTGTGAGGGTCAAACGAATTACAACTGCTTTCAACAATTTTTTCTGTCGTAAGCAAACGATCTTATTACATTAAAAGCCAATTTGGACAGACTTTCGCTATATATTAAGACCCATCAAAACTTCAACAAAATTCATTTGAATTGATTTTTTTGGTCGTAAAATGGACAATTTGTAGCCTCAAACTTTTTCAAAGTCAACCCATTTTTTGTTCCAAGAGCTCATTGCAACACTGAACCAAGAAACAACTCTGTCAGTGTTACAGTGAGCTACAGTCAGTGTCAGAGTGTTGCTTAACGCAATCAGTGTAATAACCATAATAAATTGTTTTCAAAACAATTATACACACAAAGTTATGTTCATTAATTTATGATAATTTATAATTATTATAGGTTTGAGGGGGCATCCTAAAGATTTCAAACAAAAAAATTTCAAATCGATACTTCCACAAAACAACAGTACAATTAATCTAATAAGCCTAGTTTAAATCCAAAAACTTTTTGAGAAAAAGTCCGAACAACCCAGAATATCTTTGTCAAGAAAGATATAAGGAAAATGGTTCAAACTGCCCTTTGAAAGATTTTTGATACAATCCGGATAATTTCAAAAATGAAAGTTAATTGTTTAAGGATAGACCTCATCCGCAAATTTAAAGATTAATCAATCGTCTGCGAGTTTTGCCTCGAGCTCAATTTTTGCGAAAATATATTCATATCGATGCAAGTTTTGTATTGAAAAATGTTTATATTGAATAATAAAGTTTTTATTGACTGAAATTTTTCGTACGAAACATTACCCGAACTAAGGTAGGAGTGTTTTTTCTAACTCAATTGTCGTAGTCCTACATGCTGTTCCGTAAAGCAGAACACTATATTGAGTTATTGGTTGGAAGCAACTTTTGCATGCTCTCACTAGTTATTTTGAATTTAAGATTTTCCCTAATTGGTAAAATTTTCCGTAGAGACGACTTATGTGCTCTACTTGAGTACTTATTTGTGCTCAACAAGGTTCAATGTGCGATCTAAGTATATTCCTAAATATTTTATATGTGAAGCGTTTTCTATATATTCCCTGCTCATTTGACATTTATATATATATTTATTTTGTTTTGGGATTTTGCAAAGTTAACCCATTTAGTTTTGTGCAGTGTAAGGGAATAGCTTGTTTTCAATTAACTAATTGTTTACGTCATGCAGCTAAGAGTTCAGGGTGTCCTTGTCCTGTTTGTTTATCAGAACTGTATCATCCGCGTAAAGAGTAGTATGATGATACTTGCAACACGTATCAATATCAATCATGTATATGATGAAGAGTAGGGGACCAAGGATAGAGCCTTAATCAATTGATAGGATGAAGAATCTTTTTTTTTTCATTTTGCGCCATATACGGTTCTATAAAATTTTTTTTTGTTTTGTTCAAACAGTTTCCGCAATAAACGGTTCTATAAAAATTTTTTTTGTTCAAACAGGATTTAGTTAAGTGATTCACTCTCCCTCTAATTCAAAAACTGTTAAGTTTTTCGAAAACTTTAGAATGCTCTACAGTATCAAACGCTTTTTTTAAAACTTAATAAATCACATCAACATTTTTAGATTTGTTTTCCCAGATGTCCCAAATGCGTTGAGATTGCTCCCAAATCCAATTGCTCCCAATTTTCATCTGAAACCAAAATGATTTGGTGTAAAGAGATTGAATTTTTCAAGATAACAAGTTATGCGATAACAGTATGTTTTCGAGGGACCCTTTATACTATTTTGCAAGCCAAGGGTTCCCGCAATTATATTAAAGTAACTTCAAGCGAAATTTCTTCAAGGTCCATTATTTAGATCAGCATTTTTTGGGCAGTTTTGTAGAGTCAATCGACAAAAAAAAACATGAAAATTTTTCTGGGACAATTAATTTCATCTGCAAGGACTTCTCATTTTAGGAATGGTTATAGTTTTCTGGAACTTTCTGTAACTTCTCGTTAAAGTTTTTGACGCAATCGTTCTCTCAAGCATAGCATCCTGGCAGCAAACATTTTCAAGTCCAATTGACTACACTTTGACTAGATTTGACTACAAATTGACATCAAATAGTTCCAACGAGATGGTATAATTTTGAATTACTGAGTGTTAGGGAGCCCTTTTATCTATATCTTTGTTTGCAGATAAGTTACATAGTAAGCTTGAATCAATGTCAGTTCAACATTATTTGGCCAAAACAACGCTGGCTTCTTGCAATGTTTATAGAAATCTATATCGAAGAGCCATGGAAAAAGACCGGGATAGTATGGTGTTTGTTAATTCAGAAATTTAATTAGAATTCAAACGATAAAGAAATTCTAACACACACAGCAAACCATTGTCTGTATAATAAGCCTTACAAAGTTAGTTTGTTCGTAAGAAGGAGCCGGATTAAATCAAGGCAAAGTTTTGAATGCTCTAGCTGAGCCTTAAAACTAGTATCATAAGGTATAGAAGTATTTAAACAAGCCTTTTTCTTCTTTTCTTATCTGATTCGCCTATAAGCCATTTCAATCTGAAAATGTGTTTTTTTTTTGCATTTGTAATGTTAGGATCAACCTGATTGCTTCATCTAAAATTGAAACGGTTTAAATTGTACCATATTAAAAATTGCGTGTTATTGGCCCAAATTAGCCAAATCGGCATAATTCAAACCCCAATTTTTTCATAAAAATAATCGCTAGCACCAAGTAACTTCTATTTTTGAAACAAAAGTGATTTTACACAGGTTAAAATATTCTAAATTTCGATAATTATAAGGTCAGTGCTTTTTCGAGTGTAAACTTCCAAGCGAGAATATCATTAGACCAAAGCGTAGCTTTAAGTCAACTCTATTTCCAAACACAAAGATCAAACTAAACCAGCAAAAAAATTTTGCTAAAAACTCGTTTTTTGAGTTTTTCGAACATCCGTGAATACAAGTGATTAATTTCAATGATCTACTAAAAATTTGCTCAGTAACTTAAAAAAAAATTACTTAAAAATAAGTTCATTAGGTTTTAAAATGGTTGTTTCATCATCTTAAAATCTAATAAAAAAGACGGCAGAAAAACTGATGTGTAAACGAATTGATTGTTTTAGTAAATTTCATTTTCAGTTTCCATCTCAAAAAACATGAATTTCATAGATGTCAAAATTTTCAAATCTTTCCTTCGGTCAAGATAATTGCTCAATTTTTTTGTGGTTTGGAACTCCGGTAAAAAAAATTTAAAAAGCTATTGAAAAAGCTGTGCTACCGTGGATAAGAAAAAACTAAAGGCTGAGTACACTTTGTTTTTTTTGTTTGAGTCGAAAGACATTAGTTTTCTTGATTATAAATTGACGGCTTTCAGACATCATTTTTTCTATTCAATTTTCCCTCAATTTTTCTGAAGCTGCTCACAATGTTTGGAACTTGTTGTTCCGACTTTCGATACGAAAGTAACGAAATATTTGTGCTCGGGGTGGGTTTTTTTTTCTTCAGACAAATTTCGACTTTTTAACTAGCCATTTTTGACAGAATTTTTTTATATCATTCAAAAAGTATTGTTGTCCTGAGCTCAAATTTGAAAAGATATTTCACCTGTGATCATTTTTCGTAAAGTTATGGGGTTTCAAAGATTGCCATTTTGGCCAATTTGGGACAATTAACGCGCGATATATTTCGCGCTATTAACGCGTAAGCGGAGAGTTAATCCGTCTTAAAATCGTTCCAAATTGGTTAAAAGAAGCTTATTTGCCATAATTGTTTGATTACAAGGAGCTAAATCTATCTTTTTGTACTTTAAATGGCGTGTGGGGGGATGATTTTCGTAAAAATTTTCAAATTAAAAAAAAAATTTTAAAATTTTATTACATTTAATTTTTTAATATTATTACTGCTCCATAAAACCTTAAAAGGCAGTCGGAACATTTGGGCAAATATACACACAATCTGTACTAAAGCAATCACTGCTGGATATTTTTGAGCAACGGATAGATTTGAGTGTTGCTCAAACAAACGCCTTGCAGCGATTGCCTTAGTAAAAATTATTGTTCCGACTTTCGATACGAAAGTAACGGAATATTTGCGCTCGAGGTGGGTTGTTTTTTTCTTCAGACAAATTTCGACTTTTTAACTAGCCATTTTTGACGGAATTTTTTTATATCAATCGAAAGCCATTTTTGTCCGGAGCTTAAATTTGAAAAGATATTTCACCTGTGATCATTTTGCGTAAAGTTATGAGGGTTTAAAAATTCCCATTTTGACCAATTTGGGACAATTAACGCGCGATATAATTCGCGCTATTAACGCGTAAGCGGAGATTTAATCCGTCTTATAAATCGTTCCAAATTGGTTGAACGAAGCTTATTTGCCATAATTGATTTGTTACAAGGAACGAAATCTATCTTTTTGTACTTTATCTGGCGTGTGGGGGGATGATTTTCATAAAAAATTTCAAATTAAAAAAAAATTTCATTTTATTTTATGTCACTTAATATTTTATGTTATTACTGCTGCTCCATAAACCTTAAAAGGCAGTCGGAACATTCAGGGCTTCGCCCTGTTACGAGCAGTCTTGTTTGTGCTTAGTTAGCCAAATAGTTTGTGTTTATCTATCCGGAACAGCAAAAAATTCAAAAAAGTTTATATACAAGAATTAATAGTAATCTACCAATGATTAAGCTGGGGACTAGGAAATTAGACGACAAGCAATTCAGACGTAAAGAAAAAATCCATTTTTTTAAATAAATCCTTTGCTAAAAATATTTTGATACAATAGGATTATATGAGCCTTTTATACGAGCGAAATTTTGTTTTAAACAATAAGTTATCTTAGTCTTTTGTTCTCCGTCCAAAGTACT